AGATAGATATGTTTATAAAACGATAATAACCTAATTGTTTAAATTTTTTTTTCATTATATCGTATTATGTTTGTAAGCACGTGTTCTTTAGATATGTGATAAAATCATAAAAGATCTAAAGGATCAACCTTCGTTATCATAAAAATAGGTTTTTCCGTACCAACCAGCTTTAAATAGTGATAATAAACCCCTATTAATAGGATTCGTGATAATTAAAATAACTGTCGCGTCCATGATCATCACCACAGTAAAGTGTTATGTCGAGATTGCATCATTAAAAGCTAGATACATAATCGTTATAATGTATGATAACTTATTACTGTACAAATGTGTTATTATAATGTATGATAACTTATTACTGAACAAATGTGTTATTATATATGTTTTTTTTTTAACTTTCATAGTCCCAAATGAAAGTTGAATTTAATCGATTTAATTGCGTAAGTATCCAAATGTTTATGTCACTGTGATATGTTATGAATATTCGTAGAATATTCGGTATAGTTTAGTGATTAACCAGTTTTATCAGTTATTGACTTGTCATTAGTCCATCACATCGTCTTTCGAAAGCATCAATTTTTTTTTTTAAAAAAAATTATTGCCCACGATCAACGTATATACATATATATATTTTTTTTATATTCGTCTTTTAACAATTGTTACGAATTATGATGTCAAACGTTTTTGAAACCGATTCTTGGCCAAGTGAGTTGGACGATTTTCCTACTCAACTCGCGTTAACATTACCAAGCAAGATCATAAAACGCATAGCGCAATACCTGGACACTCAGCATGACCGTTTCAACTTTTGCCTTGTCAACAAAAGATGGTCTCCCGCGGCTACAGAAATCTTATGGTCAGAACCTGTCTTCAATACGCCAGATTCTTTTCACTCGTTTCACCGTTCCGTTAAACAGTCAAGGTTATGTGCTCTTAGAGTTCGCGTATTAGATTTATGTGCGCCAGAAGATGAACTCGTAAACTTTTTTGTGCCTGTTTTGAAATCGGAACGTCAAGAGCATCAAAGAATGCGTACTTATGTGTTATCAAAGCCAAATTCTATTATGAACTTAGTTCGATCATGTGAGAATTTAAAAAGCATTAAGGTATACGGATGGAATCTTAATGATAATCACATTCAATCTTTTATTCAGTATTGTCCGGGACTCGAAGAATTTCGCGTGGTGGGAAACCAGAATCTCACTCAATTTTCTATCTATTCACTTATAAATTCAATTCCTAATCTTTATGTCCTCGATCTGGATGGAAATTTTGTTTTCTCGGATAATTTTGCTGAGGCTTTAGCGACCAAATGTTCTAATCTCATCTCACTCAAACTTTGCACGGACACAATGTCAGCGCGTGGATTCGATATATTGGCTGAAAAATTAACGCGTCTGAAGGAATTAATATTACAAAACTGTTCGCAATTGTCTGATGACAACATAGAACATTTTGTACGTAATAATTCTCGTTTACAAACACTGTTTTTATCCGGTGATAAACTTTCCATTAGATCTTTTCAAGCCATTATATCTTCCTTGGACAATTTACGCTATCTGGATCTGAGGTGTTTTAAAAAAATGTCTCATACTATTAAATGGGTTATGCCACTTGGAAAGAAATTGCATACGATCCTACTCGAAAACTTAACTGTAGATGATGATCTAATTGATGTTCTTTCAAAAAATTGCAAACATGTAGAAATTTTTGGACTTTCTAAATGTCCGTTTGTGACTGATCGTTCAGTAGATAGCATTGCCGAAAACTCTGAGAATTTACGCATCGTCAATTTAATAGAATGTCGAAACATTACTGACTCTTGCTTAAGAATTTTGGCGAACAAAGCATGTTATACACTTGTTCAATTGTTTGTCGAATCATGTGGATCTTTCGATCCGGCTGGAGTACGTTGGTTCGCTTCTAATACTTTTAAACTTGCAAGGATCGTATTTTGCAAAATGCCATCAATATTAGAATCTTTTGTATATAAGTTTTCTACTGAACAATATTCTGGTCTCAACGATTCGACCGATCAGTGTACAATCGAAGGTGACAATTTAAAAAAATTGGCTCAATATAATAAACAAAATTCTCATTCTTTAGAATCAGTTCAACATTCGAATGACAAACGACTATCGAATGAGAATAATCCTTTTCAAAATATGCATAATCTTTCTGAAATTCAGATAAATGCGTTGGCTATCGAATTGGGTTTATCTGCAGATGTAATGAAAAGAGCAGTAAGCAAAGTCCTTGGTAGTGACCATTCACCTTCCTCAACTTCATTAATGGGAGAAGAGTTCAGTTACAGTACTCAAGGCACGCCTATTCACCCACACGTTAATCAAGAACAATCTTATTTTTCGCTAAACCATAAACATGAACATTCGCATATGAGTTCTCAAGATTCATCACAAAGTATATCCAAAAATTTTTACGAGAACTCATCAAATGAACCCATATCAATACTAAATCGTCGTCATACAATACCTTCAATAAGCGGTTCAACTCAGCAATTTCCTTCTGAAGCATTATCTTCCGTCATTAAAAAAACACAGTGTGGATGGTCGTCGATTAAAGTTAAGCTACCTAGTTTGCATCGAAAATCTATAGATTCTGGGCGGGAAAGCCTATCAAGCCAACTTGTTTCAAATGATTTAATGTCACCATCATCAACTCAATCGACGACTACAAACAAGGTTATTGATGATGTTTCACCTTTTAGTAGAAATGAATTCGATGAGAATTTTGAAAGCAAGCAAAACAAAGTCTCCAAGGAACAACAAGTTGAACAATCAAAACTAAATGATACAATGAAATCGACCGGAAATTTTGTTTTTGAACAAAGCACATCTTTTCCAATTTATTCCGAACAAAACAGACAAAGTACATCACTTCATACCCATTCAGAACCCAGTATGTCAATTCGAGATGTAAAACTACGTTCTGTGTCTCCTGAACCTATGCTTATTGAAACGGATTCCCGTACATGGATGTTGGAGGTGCAAATGAACCAAATACAGGTACAGATGTAGGGAGTCTAACTAGAGCAAATACTTGTACCATAGAAACGCATCATAATCATACTCAACAAAATACCTGGGAAAATAATAAATTTGAAGGTAACAATATCGGGTTTCAAGCGAACGATGGTCGGTCATCAGAAAGAACGTACGATGGTCGGTCATTTGAAAGAACGCAAACCTCTCCTCCACCTCAACAACGTCAAAAAGAACAAAAATCAGATTCTCAACATGCTCAAGGCTCATCTATGTCACAATCTTCACAAGCTCAATCTCATCCACCACAAGAGTCTGGTCACCAGCAACAACCTTCAGAATCAAATACAGATTCGATAACCCTGAAAATAAGCGCCTGGCATTCTATTGCTGATCCGAATGCCGTAAAAAGAGATGACGGTCTTGGCACTGGACAATTACATCGAAGGGGAAGAAACTATAAACCTGTTGATGAGGCGACCGTATTAGCAATACAGCAGAAAGGAAAGAGCCTTGCTAAGAAATCAAAAAAACTGTATGAAGATAATATCGTGCCATCCTCATCCTCAAACTTCAAACCTATACAAAAAAGTTTAAGTAAAACAAAACCATTGCCAAAACCTGTCCCTCATAAACTTCCTAGAAATCCTTTTGCTACTAACACATCCACGTCCCCCTCTTCATCCTCATCTTTTGCATCATCCGCACCTCACAAGTCACATGACATTAAAAATGAAGTTCGGACGACTGTTAACCAACAGCAGCAACGAACAAAAACACCGTCACCATTACCACCACCGTTGCAGCAACAACCACAATCAACACGAGCACCTTCTCAAGCACCAGGTCGAGAAAGATGGAATGCTCCGAGTTTGGTTAACACTCCTTTCTGGGAAATACCTCAAACTAATCTTTCACAATCTGCTGCAAAGTCAACACAATATCAACAATCACAATCTTATCGTCATCCATCACCTGCTCGTTCACCGCGACCGTCAAAGCATATGCAGGATTTCTTACCATATATTCCACCAGAGTTCG